GGGAGCTTCATCACTGGAGGCTTTCAGGAAGAGATTGGACTGCCATCTGTCAGAAATGGTGAAAGGTCTCCTGCTTGGGCAGGGAGTTGGACTAGATGACCTACAAGGTCCCTTCCAAATCTTATTCTATATTCAATGGAATAGCTTGCCTTCAGAAGTTGTGGGAGCTTCATCACTGGAGGCTTTCATGAAGAGATTGGACTGCCATCTGTCAGAAATGGTGAAAGGTCTCCTGCTTGGGCAGGGAGTTGGACTAGATGACCTACAAGGTCCTTTCCAACTCTTAATTTTAAACTATCAGTGTCCTTACACTGTTGCAATTCCAGTAGTTATAAGGATTTTTATTCCTAACATGTGGCACTTCAACAAGGTATAGCACTGATTTCAGAGTGTTTGTCTCAGAGAACACGAGGAAAGTTGAATTACTCACTGTGATGAATGTTTGAAGTAGCATGAACTGGCTATAAAAGGGCTTTCAAAAGTCTTCACCAAATTTGTAGGCAGAGAAATTGGATAGAAAAATTTATCTGAGTGAAGCAGATATTCTCCAACCATTTCTCAAGGACAGATCTCAACCTTAGCAGTGGCTCTTTGACTGAAAAAGCCCCCTAGAAATTTCCCCTAGAAGAGACTTTTCTCTACTTTTTCTTCTTCTTTTTGTGCCATGTCCATCATTGGACATCAGCAATCATGTTGGCAATCCTATTTTTATCTACAGCCGCACGAAAAAGGGCTGCTAAGTTTTGTCCAAACCAGTCCCTTAGATTTTGAAGCCATGATGTTGTTCTTTTGCCTGGATCTCGTTGGCCTTCAATCTTTCCTTGGAGGATTAAGTGAAGTATGCTGTATTATTCTGTCGCATCACATGTCCAAAATATTCTAGCTTCCATTTTTTAATGGTTTTGATGATTTCCCTTGGTTTTCCCAGGCAGCTTATCACCTCCTCATTTCTGATTTTGTCAGCCCAACTTATACATAACAGCTGCCTGTAAATCCACATTTCAAATGCTTCTAGTCCAGGGATGGTTAACCTTTTTGACACCGAGTGACGCAACTGGAGCATGCACACGCTGGAGCCTGGAAGAGAACAGTTGGCTGGAGCGCATGTGCGCGGCGGCCAGCTGCACTTCTGGGTTCCATTATGCGCATGTGCACCGGCAAGCTACTCTCTACTGGGTTCCGGCATGGCCAGCCTGGTCTTCACACGGAGCACACCGGAACCTGGAAGAGAGCGTGTCGGAACCCGAAAGAGAAGCTGGTGAGGGTGAGCATGCCCACAGAGAGGGCTCTGCATGCCACCTTTGGCATGCATGCCATAGGTTCGCCATCATGGTTCTAGTCTCTTCAAGTGGCTTTCTGTCAGAGACCAGCTCTCCCCCCCATGAAGAATCCCTACTTAGAGAAACACAATAAATGGAGAAAGAGTAGAGAAATATGAGAAACTATTAAAAGAATAATAGTAGGAAAATTCTATCTTTGCTCATTATTCTATTGTGCTAGCCAGGCGAGTGAATGTGTTGCTAAACCCCTCATAATCTTTCCCTGCAGTCACAAGGTTTTTACCCTGGGCAGTTCTGGGATGGATGGCGCTGTTTGGAGGGGGCCCTTAAACAGCTCAAACCCCGTCTCTCCGGAGCAGCCTGGACGGGGGGATCAGGTCATAAACCTTATCAGGATCCTGGGAAACAACGCCAGTCTAATTGAACTGCTAGATACCCAGTTGGGCTGACTGTTTTCGAGTCGGTCCGATCAGCGGGGTGCTCACCTGGAAAGCAGCAAACCACATGAGCCAATCCAGGCGGTAATGGTAGGGGCTGATCAGGCAGGGCCTCCTCTGCAGATTCCCTGGTTTACACTTGAATTCATACTCTTCCCAAACTGCAGCAGGATCATTGGGGTCTGAGCTGGAAGTCCCTTGGATTATAACCTCGGTTCTCTCTTTGGTTACGCTGCAAGAGAGAGGAGGGTGGTGAATGTTTCGAAGCTCTTGACCAAGTGGCTTCCAGGGGTGCGTTAAGTGCAAGGACAGAAACATTCAAGTATTTGAGAGGCTGCCACAAAGAAGAGGGGTGTCTCCAAAGCACCGGAGGGCAAGATAAGAAACAATGGAGGGGAACTGATTAAGGAGGAGAAGCAACCTGGACATGGAATTAAGGAGAAACTTCCTAACAGCGAGGGCAATTAACCAGTGGAACAGCTTGCCACCAGGAGTTGTAGATGCTTCCTCACTGGAGGTTTTTAAGAAGAGGCTTGAAAGTCATTTAGGTGAAATGGTATAGGTCCTCCTGCTTGAACAGGGGGCTGGACTAGAAGACCTCCAATGTCTCTTCCAGCTCTATTCTATTCTATTCTATTCTATTCTATTCTGTTCTGTTCTCTATTCTGTTCTATCCTCTCCTCTCTTATATATTTAATATTTTCTTTTCTGTTTTCCCC